TGATTCGCACTGAAGATAATAGTGACACCTGAGCCGATTGAACAAAAGTTTTTCAATAGTGCACACGTGGAAACATTGGTTGCGAATACAGCAGAAGTGTCAGTACAATATGTTCATATTCAATACAGCAAGAGACTGTACCAGCAGACTGGAGCCGCTCCGTCATAGTTTTAATTTGTAAGGAAAGCTCACGTTCTGTCTCAATCACTGATGAATCAGCCTGATCCTAATTGCCTCTAAATTACTAGCGTCTGTCGTTCTCCAGATATTGTCCGGCACCCGTGAAAGCCAGATTCGTGAGGAGCAAGCCGGGTTTCGTTGAAATCGAGGCTGTATTGACACCTTTACTTTGCGTTAGGTGTTTGGAAACTGTCATTTTTATTGCCGACCCAACGGTTCCTTCATTTCACTGGATCGATGTGCCCCATTGGATTGTCTAATTAAAAAAGATGCGACGATAGACATGTAAACATTATCAGAGCGCAGTACGCGCATAGTTCGGGCAGAGTGAGAGTGTACGGCACTGTTGCTGCCCTTCAGGTTCTCCAGTGGAGAGACAATGTTGCCAGCTATCACCTTTCCTTTTAACTCCACCATTGACGAAGTCATGGAAACGGCGTTTGCCGAGGACGAACTACAAGGTGTGGAGCAGCTTCCCGATGAGCGACTTCTTGACTCTGATTACGCCGACGATATTACCCTTTATCAGTGACAGCTCACAAACGTGCCAAGCAGCACTGGACAACTTACCACTGGCTGTCAGTCAGTTCGAGCTATGCGTTGCAGCTTCGGAACACAAAGCCTCTCCAATGCAGGGATCCACCCCTGAGCTGACCCTTGGTGATGACCAGCTAAAGTTGTTCAGAAATTGAAGTATCCGAGCAGCTATAGTAGCGCCTTTAGTATAGAAGATGGAGGTTACGAACCCTATAACAAGTGATTGAGGCGCAATTGTCAATCTGCGCAACCTGGGGTGTCCGCTCGACATCACTCTCGCCCTGAGGGGCAATGTACAATGCAGCCGTACATTTGCGCCTCCTGTACGGTAGTGAAACCTGGCCCATTAGACCGACAAACGTGAAGTGGCTAGTTACTTTAGATTACAGGTGCCATCACAGTTCAGTTAACGTCTGGTGGAAACACCGCGTGAGCAATGAACATCTTCGGCGTCGCGTGTGTGGCGCAGGAAGAGCGAGTGAATCACTCAGCACCAGTATATCATACAGCAGGCTCCGAAGGTTGTGTCACGTGCTGCGCAGGCCATTACCCCGACTCCCGCGACGTGCGTTGTTTGAGCGACAAGTGTGTGGATGGAGGAAGAGGAGGGAAGGCCAAGCGGTGGTTTGTTCACGAGGAATAAAAACCCGCACTTCGAAGTTGGAGTCAGCTGGGGTTTCCCGACTGCCGAGCTGGGGTCCGAAGGATGATAAACACGTCTGGCTGGATACACTTTTGACATGGCGAAAAGCTGACGTTTGTTTTGTGGGTTTCTTTGTCCCTCGCCTTTAGCCCCCCCCCCTTCAGCCGCGATCTCACATAATACGTAGTATGATATGTAATAGCATAATGCCTCTTAGTTGCCGTATCCTATAACATTTGATATCCTTTTTGTATTGTGGCACATAAGATGTGTTGCACACCCTCAACTAACGTGTGTTGAGCATGATGATGTTAGGTCACAGCTGCGTCGTGTGCACAGTTCCGTGGGCCGGACGTCACAGTTCGACTAAGTCAAGTCTTAGTGAACGGTTTCTGGACACACAATCTCGGCTTGTAAAGCCGAATCGCGATGGTCTCAGCGGATTGAGGTAGCCACCTACGGCTGTGCTTTAGTGCATTGTCAGTGCTTGATGAATGACCTTGAACGACAGCCAACTTTGTGACATAGTCTGCGACGATGAAACGCGTGGCTATAGAGGGTGGTTGGTAGGTTTTCGACACCGACCCACGAGCCAGGCCGGATGGCTTTTCCTCACTCTGTCGGACAGGAGCGTTGCCGTAGGAGCAATGTAACCAGGTCCATAGGAAGGGAGTGAGTAAATGTACATCGATCTGGTGAAGACGGGTGTCTTGTCCGAGAGAGTATATTAAAAATTAGCACCAGACCATAGGCGCAATTGTTTTCGACGATTCTGATCAGACCATCACAATCATATTTAAGGGTAAAATAAGGAACTGAAATCGACCCATTGACGCAAATCACACAGTCCATTAACGGTTCAGTGAGGGAGGCTAAAAGTTGACCTTTGACCTGACAGGTCGATTGCACGGTACCGAGCTTGATCTGTGGCAGTCGACCTCAGCATCGTTCGTTCTAGCTGGCCAGGGAAGCTGTGGAGCATGGATCAACTTCTTTTGCGAGCATAAAGAAGGCTGAAACAACCGGATGCAAATCGATTCAGCTGTCGCGAGCGCACGGAGGCGCAAACCTCTTGATTGGTGCTGGGGGACCCTGTAAATTATCCTGAAGGCACGTCTTACATCAACTTGGTGCCCAGTGTCCACAATATGGGCCAAAACGGCGCCGCTAATGACCCCAGTTCCCCCTTGACGCAACCAGCGTGGGCGGTGCTCGTTCACGCATTTGAACAAGTGCCGTGTCGTTCGATCGATATAAGTAGCGTCACAAGCGCACTTGAACTGACAAATAACCATAGATGAGGTCAGCAATGGCAGTATATCATTATTGCGTGAACAAACAAGTGATTCAGTAGAAAATGTACAGTTTAGCTTGGCTGCTGGGAAAGTCGACTTGACTGTCGCTGAAATACTTTTGGTCAGGCGCTCGGCAACGGCATCCCTATTAAAAAGTAGTCTTATAAATAACTCCTTCTTCGCCGCGGTTAAAATTGGTACCGGCTTGCATAATTTTTTTCAAAATTGCAACAAATCTATCAGGATAGCTATCCTCTTGCAGCGTATTCTTTATAAAGGCTAGTTCACATCATCCAGGGTGTTCTGTGAGCAAATTCTACCCGGCTCTTGTGAAAAACAGCGAATTAAGTTTCGCTTGTATCTCAGCGGGACTACAGGAGAGAATTGAATCGGCATCTTAGCTGCTGAAAAAGTATACACAAGGGTGCGTTTGAAAGACGACGAGTGCAGATTTAGGCATCAATTTCATCCCTGCGCAATAATTGTAGAAAAATAGACCTATCCTCTGCGCCGGGGGTTATATGTTGATCGTAATGCACCACGATTAATTGAAAAGCGTGCAGTTCGAGTATACTCTGTCATTTCGGTCCATTAAACCGAGAATTAAATTACGATTTGAATTAGGCAGAACGAATTCGTGGGAATTCGTCTACTGTCCATTGCAATTACATTTCTGTACACGGCAAGTCAATGTACCCGAGTGGGTGCATTTTACAATATAGCCACGGCAAAAGTGCTAAAACAATATTAAAAATGAAAAAGTGTGCAACTGGAAAGTTGCATCAGGAGCACAAGTGTCACACGAATAAAAAGTCCCGAATCTGCATTTGGTTGATGGTACATTGTTGAAACCCGGTTTTTCGATCCGGACGAAGATCCATCAGGTCACAAAACGCCTTCCGGTGATTTGGCGCAGTACGCGCGGTATCTCAAAGTACATTTGAAAAAAATCGGCGGAGGACAGCATCAGTGACGTTGTGACTAGTCTAATCAAAGATGTGAAGAAAAATTGATGAAAACGGATAAATCCGCAGCGGATGCAGGAAGAGCGATGATCCAGAGAAAAGACAAGATCCGAGTTAAAGGCAGTTCATCGATGTGATGCTGTATCGCACAACTACCCAGTTGATCCATGGCTATGTGGAAAATACCAGTTTGTTCCAACAATTTCGGAGATAAACTTGGGGGCTGCGTGTGCTTGTTTGAAAAGGTCTTCGATGTTTCGAGAGCAGTGAAGGAATATTAAGATGTCGGCGCATCGGCCGCAGACTTAGAATCGTGACGAGCGGATGAGCTCACTAGTGGTGGTAGTCAGTTCAAAGAGACAGTGGCTATGGTGAGAGCTACGCTTCTACCACGAGTCTATAGTAATCCGGCATATGGTTCGTATCGGTCTTGACAGCAGACACGCCTATCACGCTAGTGCAATTCAACGCAGACGCCCTAAATGGGAAAAAATGAAACGCCGTCGCCGGTACTGTAGTGAACGAACCATTGACAAGGAGAGATACAAGGTCAATTGGAAACCCGCATCAATTTGAGCAGCAGTGCGCGGAGCGCAATGACCTTATGGGTTATCTAATCGACAAAGACATCTCTCAATAGGTTGATACAATAGGCTGTCCATTGATTGCAGGAGCAATTGAGATGGAAGCCCAAAACAAATTGGGTCGGCTTGCGTTTGGGGCAAAATCCTCTAATTGCTGGGGAAGAGAGCAGGGCTCTGAAGGCGGAAGAGATCTGCCAGTACTGATCATGGGGAAAGGGTCAGCAAAACCCGTGCAGGACAGGACACACTGCGTAGTATGTAAAGTCAAGCGCTTCAGTGAGTACGTCTCGAATCGCGGTAACCGCCCAGATTATTGCAAGTTTATTCCATACACATCATTTGTCAGTAATGACAATGAAGCCTTGGATTCCTGCAAAAAAATGCGCTAAGGATGACATCTCATCATCACACACCAGCTAGTAGACTGCGATGGGACGGTGCCTTCAGTGAATGACATTGCGCAACTCAGAGGCGAACAACCACATTCTGCTCCGTGAGACAGATAAGCAACATATCGTACGCCGGTTCAGTCTGAACCTCTTTGTGCACTGTGTATGTACGACGATGAGTTGGTGCCACTGGAATAGAAATGAGCTAATAGTCGGAATATCGCTATCATTAGTAGCAGTGTGGGGAAAAAGGCGGTGACACAGTTGAGAGAAACGTGAGGACATCAACGAACCGATGAGTAGGTCATCAGTAGGCCGGAATGAAATGGCGTCCACGAAAACAACACACACAGAACAACTCTTCCCAGTAGATGAGCGACAAAGGAGACAAGAAGTAACCGACTGACCTGCTTCAATACGCCCTTGGCTAAGAGGCTATGCTTGCACGCCGTCATCACGAAGTAGTGCGTCTCGTCCTTGTAGTACACGATGTTCTCCAAATCGATTCCAGTGTCGGAGGCCAAACGAGCGAAAAATTGTTGATTGAATATGCTCGCTACTCCACTAATCTCTTCCACCTCGGTCTCCGCCTGCGTGCGATAGTTGACGAAGTTAGCAGTGATTGCGATCGCCAGACGACATCGAAGTTCCTTGGAAGGAAACCCTGCGTGATGAAAAGTGTAGTGAAAGAATTTGGTGGTGATGGTTGTTCCAAATCAAACTGAAAATGAGTAATTAATAGGGGGGAGGTAAAGATTGCTACAAATTTGAGCATAGATGTTCGGCCGTTTATGGAGAAATAGGCCACCATGTGAACGCGAAGTTCAACACGGCAGTAACGCATAAGTCAGGAAACCGTGAGCCGCCATGGCTTAACCAAATCGATTGTTGACATTCCCAGCGGCCCAGCAGTCTCAAAGACGGACTAATAACAGTTGGGTGGCGGGTCCTAGCCCAACTGAAGACGGATGACATGTACACTGCCAACGACTTAAAAAGAATGAAAAGGCAGTACAGTAGTGTTCTAGACGGGTGGTACCACTCACACTGAATTTAGTTGTGATGATTTAAATGTAATAGTCTTCAAAAGTTCCTATGACTGCGTAAAAGGTTAGCAATGTTTATAACTAGTAAATGAAAAGTTGTCCAGAGACGTAAGATCCCCGAAGAACAGTTTGCGGGTCTTGTGGAACCTGAAGAAGGTTAAATATACGCAGATGAGATGTGGTTGCTGGTGAAAATCCGATGCAGTAGCAGATTGAAGGTTATTTCAGAATGAGCAGCTCAAAATGTGGACAAGAAGAGGACAACAAGGAAGAAGAGGAAAATACTCCTGAATCGTACATTTTCCGACCAAAGTAAACTTCCGTGAACCCGAGGTTTGTGTGCTAGCCACCCTGTCGGTTCCATGTCCAGATTAGCCTGTGGTTAGTGCCGACCAGCCCGCCCTTACGGTGTCAACCCATCAACAGTTTGTGGGGCAGGGGCTGTTGCGACAACAAAGCATCGACCAATTGGCCGATGCGATTATCATAATTATTAATATTATCCTAACAAACTAAAAGCCCCAAAACGGATGAGAACAGTGGTGTTTAGTTAAGATTGTAAACTTTGGTCTGTGTGCCTAGGTGCAGTGGAGCCAGTTGCGATGACATACTTCGTCAGGGAAAAGATATTAGTGAAAACAGAGGAAGAATGGGAAGGCGACTAGTCGAGTCCGAAGTGAGGAAAAGAATAAAGGAGCTTCACTGACCCCATGACCGTGTCATAATCGTTAAGGCATCCGAGAATCGATGTGGGGCTAACTTCGAGGATCCCATCGGGGAAAACAACGATTCCCAACCGAATATCTCAACAAATCTAGAGGGTTCTTCTTGCTCTCTAGTTATCATTAGCAAACCGCATTCAACTAAACGCAGTACTGGCAATGAAACTATCGAAGCAGTCGGTTTATAGATATGCGGACCACATGAAGAGCTTACCCAAGAGACGATTCCAGTGAGGCAACAACCGAGGAGCTTCAGCGTTGGCTCTCACCTGGATGGAAACGCTACCGGATATGGCCAGGCATCGTACACAATGGCGAAAGCGCTTTGAGGACTCCGTACCCTTGATTGCCTTTTCTCCCAACTTGTTTCCTGTTAACTAGGTGTGGCGGCAATCCGCCAAGTGATTATCGGTAAAGCGTCGTATATGGTTGGCGGCATCTGCTATCGGGTTTGCCTGTCCCTGTGGCCAGCCATGGGATGCCTGCGCCTACAGAGGGACCATGGGTGGCTTGCGCTGCACCACCCACAGCTCCAACCACACACCCCATATCCAGTGTAAACCCGAAGGAATAAGACCGGGATGCAATTTTTTGGGAGCCACGTTTCATCAACGGAGCCGGTCCACATTCCATCACAGGCAAACACAAGCAAGCTGTATTTGGGAATCAATCGCACACAAGGCGGTGGCTGGACCGTAGTCTGCTCCACACTAAGTACATGGAACCACTTTGATCTTAACACGGTCACAAGGACCGTGCACCACATCCCCTCCAGCATATATATATATATATATATATATATATATATATATATATATAACATTCCACTTTAATTGGTTTGTTCTGCCTACCTGAATAATCTTCTATTAACTGGCCATGTTGCTTACCCTAACTGTGGTTATCTTCGTTAACTTTATTGAGTTTGTGGCTTTATTTGAATAACTTCTGGAAATTTATTAAAACTTATCGCGGATTCGTTGCTAACCCAATTAATGCACATGCTAATGTAGCGAAGAGTTAGGTCTGCATGGTCGTATGCTTTAACAGATATATTTTATTTCGTAATGTCACCAAGTGATTGGCTGTTGTTTGACATCCCCGGTGTGGCTGCGCCTGATGTGCATGTTGACAAGGTGCCTACCTGTCTATTACCCACTACCTCGTCCATACTGCCTACGGAAGACAGTTGATCGCTGCTGGAGAGGACGAGGTGCACGGTCCTTGTGGTCGTGCTAGGATCAAAGAGTGGTTCCATGCACTCAGTGTGGAGCGGACTACGGTCCAGCCACCGCCTTGTGTGCGACTGATCCCCAAATACAGCGTGCTTGTGTTTGCCTGTGAAGGAGTGTGGGCCGGCTCCGTTGATGAAATGGGGCTCCCAAAAAATGCATCCCGGTCTTATTCCTTCGGGTTTACACTGGATATGGGGTGTGTGGTTGGAGCTGTGGGTGGTGCAGCGCAAGCCGTCCATGGTCCCTCTGTAGGCGCAGGCGTCCTGTGGCTTGCCACAGTGACGGGCAAATCCGAAACCGGATGCCGCCAACCATATATATATATATATATATATATATATATATATATATATATATATATATATATGGCGGGAGAGCCTATGGTGCGCTGAGGCTGGTGGTGGCTAGATCCTGACAGATGGTCTACCCACTGCTGCTACTGCTGCGCCATAGTCTCATGTCCTGGGCGCCTCCACGTGGCGACCGCTGGGTGGGAGTTGGGTTTCGCCCTTCTCCCTGCTAAGATCCAGGACACCAATCCGCATGAGTCGGCTAACTGACCATGTGCTAGACTCGCTGCCTTTCGGGTGTTCATTTAATCGAAGGCTTTGGCTGAGGACCCGAGTCGTTCTCTTGTCAGGATTGGGCGCCCTGGCAGTATCCTAGTCCATCCTCTCCGGAGGTTAGGAAGTGGTCGATGGCCCACTTCCCGTAAAACCTAGCCATGGGAGACAACAGGTTTACGGGTGATATTCTCAAAGCTCGATTGGCGTAGAGCACGAGGGCCACGCATTGTCTCTGACGGTAGGAGGACACCTCCGGGTGTTCAATGGCTTGCCACTGCCCGCCTCAAGCCAGGCAGCCCCTGGTCAAATTGGTGCAAACCCGCTAAAAACCCACCTGCGTCTGGCCGTGGTCGCAGGTGCGTATCCAATTACGGTCGCAAAACATATACAAAACGTTCCAGAACCTCAAAGGCTGCGTGTGACGGTCGTCAAGCAGATCTCAATCTGTCTCTGCAATCACATTCCCGAGCTGGATCTGCTCTCCACTGCCTTGTGGGTCAGGCTATTGAGCCAAAGGCTCCGGGCGGAGTCCCTCAAGCAAACCTCCGAATCACCCACTGCCTTGTGGGTCAGGCTATTGAGCCAAAGGCTCCGAGTGGAGTCCCTCAAGCAAACCTCCAAACCACCCACTGTCTTGTGGGTCAGGCTATTGAGCCAAAGGCTCCGGGTGGAGTCCCTCAAGCAAACCTCCAAACCACCCACTGCCTTGTGGGTCAGGCTATTGAGCCAAAGGCTCCGGGTGGAGTCCCTCAAGCAAACCTCCGAAGCACAACGACCACCTTGCGTGCGATTGCCCACCAATGCAATCGTATGCCTGCGCGCAAAGCACTCAGCATCGGGTGCTGGAACGTGCGCACACTACTGGACCGGAACTCGAGCGAGCGCCCGGAGCGACGCACTGCACTGGTCGCGATGGAGCTGGCGCGCTACCACATCGATATTGCGGCGCTCAGTGAAACTCGGCTCGCTGAGCAAGGTAGGTTACATGAAGCAGGTGCTGGTTACACATTCTACTGGGTGGGGAACGCCGTCTCAGCACCACGTGAACATGGGGTCGGATTTGCGATATCCGATCGCCTCCATGGCCAGCTGGTGGGTGAACCAACGGGCATCAGCGCGCGACTGATGACTGTTCGCCTACGACTCGGAAGAGGTAAGTTTGCTACTTTTATAAGCACGTACGGTCCGACCATGAGTTATCCTGATGACACGCGTGATCAGTTCTACACTGTGCTATCCTCCGTGATACGGTCTGTGCCGAAGAGCGACCGACTATTTCTGCTGGGTGATTTCAACGCGCGCGTTGAGCGTGATGCATCGGTGTGGACAGATGTTATCGGTGCGTATGGCATTGGTTCAGCGAATGCGAACGGTGACAGGCTGCTCTAACTGTGTGCCACTCATGGCCTGACGATCACGAACACTCGGTTTGCACTGAGTGCGAGTGCTGTAGCAACCTGGACGCACCCACGGAGTGGTCACGCTCACCTGCTCGACTATGTCGGCGTACCTCAGCGTGATATGAGTGAAGTGCGCATGACACGTGTACTGCGTGGAGCTGAGTGGGGCACTGATCACAAGTTGGTGCGGAACAAACCGTACATATATTTTCGTAAAGATGTGTATTGCACTCCAACCGAGAATCGGCGTAAGTTTAACATTCTCTCCCTCGGTACTGTGGCGAAACGTACTGAGCTGGAGAATGCGATGGCTGCACGCCTGTGTGATGTGGACTGCATAGCCACAGTGGGCGACCTGTGGCACCACATTCGCGATCAGGTGACAGCTGCTGCCGAGGAGACCATCGGGCGCGCAAACTGTAAACGGCCTGATTGGTTTGATGACAACAACGCGACGATTGGCGCATTGGTGTCGGAGAAGAATGCAGCATTTGCTGCACATGCTGCAGACCCCAGTGACTTGGGAAAGAGCAGTCAGTTTCGCAAACTTCGACGGCGACTGACCCGAGAGCTCCGTCGCCTTAAAAATGCATGGTGGACGGAGAAGGCGAAGCAGATGGAATGCTACGTCGAACGCCGCCAACACAAGGAATTCTTTGACTCCTTGAAGGCGGTGTATGGACCGAGATTGGAGCCGC